CCCAGCGCACATGTTAAAGCGCAGAATAGCGGGTTCTATGATCCAGGCTTCGCTGCCGATCCACTGAAGTGGAGGCGGCGGCTGTCTCGCCAATTCCTCCAGCAGAAACTTCATGTCTCCTGAGGCAAGAAACGCTACTATTACCCGGGCTGTTGATCTGCGGATGACGTTTGCCACTCTCTCCAGTTTACTGCGCGGTTGTGTTCTGTAGTAGGACTCGGAGTACTCCACACAGATGCCCTCCTCTTGCGCAGCCTTTAGAAACGACGCCATTCCATTATTTCCGTAGTCTGTGTCGCTGCGCACTGCCCCAATCCATGTCCAGCCGAAATGCTTGACTATTTTTGCTAGTGCGGCCGCTTGGTGGTGGTCACTAGGCACGGTCCTGAAGAAGGCAGGATACTGACGCTTATCGCTCAGACATGCGCAGGTTGCGAAATGGCTCACCTGATATTCAGTACAGAAAAAAAAGGCAACATTACTGACAATCCCCAATGAATTATTGCGGTCATTTATGGCACATTGTATGTTTTTTTTTTTTCACTACTTACTAGAGTTAGTACATTTTTTTTAATTGGTGCTGCCTACACTCACCTGTGGAATTCCAAAAAGACCCAGCATTCTAGCCATGCTTATTGATGGAGTGGAATTAGAATCTCCCACGAGAGCAGGAACAGCTGCAGCTGCAGATTTTGAACAGGAATCAGTATCATTGAAAAATGGTTCCATGCCGTTTGCAAACTGAAATGCAACTTTGATTGCCATCGGTACTGCAGCGCACGAGTCGTGTATCTGGTATCCTAACGTGATTCCCGGCAGGAGATCTGTTCTGTTGTTGATCTCGTGGATGGTGAACTCCATGGCACGAGCGATGCGCAGCTCCCTAAAATTAATACTGTTCAGAAACAAATTAAGCACACATTAGAGTTATATATATATATATATATATATATATATATATATATATATATATATATATATATATATATATATATATATATACACACACATTCAGTCGTCGTTTACTCAGCAGTGTATGGTTTCAAAAAGTGATAGTTTAATTATTATCTTTGCTCTGCAATTCCCTTTGCAACTTTTCACTCCACACTCACAGACAGACCTCCCAGAGCACCGTAGCTGTAGTGGCTGTCTGGCGTAGGTGTTCTGTTCTGAAGTCGTGTAGAAGTGAATAGAAAAAATCCCTCCAATTACAAAATCTCCATTCATAAAAAGACCAGGAATCTTACGCTCAGTCCACAGCCTGCAGCTTACTGGATCAGCTTTACAAGCTGCTGGACTGAGCCCAAGTGTCCACAACATTGATACAAACATCATTATAATTGAAGTGAGCTGCATAGTGTACTCGGTAGTGCCTAACCGTCTAAATGTCAGGGTGGCTGCATTTAAATACCCACTTTGTTATGATGCCCTGTGGGTGTGAGCTCAGCCTCAGGAGGCGTTGTTATGTCTTGAGCAGTAATTGCAATGATGGACAACACTTTTGTATTTGTATGTCTCTGATTCACTGAACTGTGGTTTACTCTAATAAGCAACCATTGGCTGTAAATTGCTCACTAATCTACGCCGTCAGTTCCGAGCATAAGGTTAAGTTTGCGCAAACCAAGAGCGTATCTGAGTTGTTGAGATTCACACATTTTAACTTAAGCGCATTTTGCACGATATCCACTCGTGATGGGCTGTATTATGTGCAGCACCATTGTTTGACCACTTTTTGTGACCACGTATTTTTTACACCAACACTACTTTCACATCAGGGTTAATATTAGTAACAGGTTTAGGCTTAGGAACAGAGTGAGTGGTAGTTTAATGTTTTGGCTTGAGGTTAAGGATATGGTTCGAGTAAATTAAGATATGATTTGGCTTCCCAAATAAAGCCCAACCCTATTTCCTCCTTATCACATGTGAGGCCCCGCACATACCCCTGGTTTTACAACAGATTGGTGATCCACTATGCTCATATAAGGGCTTAGTGTGAGCCACCACCAAAGGAGCGCTAACATGGGGCCACGTATGTATTCCCAATTTCACTACTAACTGGGGCCCCACTTTGGGAAGCCGACATCAAGCCTTCATATAAGGGCTTAGAGTCGGATGCCACCATACACGTACTATGCATCAAGGTACAAACAACGTAAATGTACCCTCAATGGTACAACAGTGGTTTTAAGGTCCAATTGTTTACCTTAAAAACGTTTTTTCCAGGTTAAAAGTACATATTTGTACCTGGTCATAACCAAAGGTTTTAAAACAGAACAATAAAATCAAAAGCCTGGAGACAGGGTGTGTGGAGTCAATACACCTGAGAAAATATAAATTCAATGGATTATGGTTCGGTTATGTTCCCTGACTAACATAACTAACGTACTGAGATGTACCTTTGAGGGTCCCACCCCAGTGACAGTTTACTACCTTTATTTCTGAGAGTGTAAGGGCATAATCCTCCGGCTCTGCATGCACCCCCACTCTCATGACTGACTGGGCACTCATTTCGGAAAAGTCCACATATAGCCCTCGCGTGAGGGATTAGTGTAGACTGCCAACATAGTGTCCCTAACATGGTGGCCGATTCCCCCCAGCATGCTGCGGAAAAAGAATGCCCAGTGTCCAGAAACTTCCATAATCGAACCTCACAAATCTCAACCAAACACACCTGGTCACAAACACTATGGAAGACAGGGTCTGCTTATATGAAAAATAAATAAAATAATAAAATAATAAATGAAAATCTAAAATACATTTTCAAAACTTCAAAAATAATGTAAATAAATGTAAAAATAAACAAAGTAAATATAAAAGTTTGACATAAAAGCATTGATCATTGATTTCAGTATTTATTTCCATATTTCTTGATTCATGCTTTTTCTAGTCCTTATGATAGTAGGGGTGCTACATACACTAATAATTTAATAATTATTTTATTTATTTTTTACATTGGCAGACACCAACACACACACACACACACACACACACACACACACACACACACACACACTCAAACAAACATGCAAGTCCAATTATTGTCTCATTTTGCAATATTTTAGATGAACATGACATCAGTCAGTCATGACTATTTGCCTAGAACATGACAGAGTGATGCAGTGCTGTTCACAGACTTGAGTGTGAGGAAACTTGGTCTAATATTGTCATATTCTATATGCAGACATGATTTTCATAAAAAAATATAATAAAAATTCGAGTCCACTTTCCTTATTGCAACAACCAAAAATAGACGATCCTAATGAATACTCTTTTAAAACTTACAGTGATTATGTGCTATTATTCAAACTCCAAGGACAATTATTTTTAGCTTATTCATGAAACGTATCCAGACATAGAAAGCTATGCAGCCTACCTTCATCTTTTCCGTCTGGTTTTTGCAGCCAGCTTGTCAAGATATCAACCAGGAGTGACTTTGCCATTTCCATCCCACCTTAAACAATGCAACACTTAGCAGCAGTTACATTCTGGCCACTGTACATGTGCCAAAAATGAAACTGCTGCACCATTTAAGGTGGAAACTAAAAGTAATTCAACTGCAAACTCTTCATTTTTGTGACTGCAAACTATGTCTATCTTTTTTAGTTAAAGAACTGAATTGCCAGTCAGTTAGCTAACAACTGTAGCTAATGCTAGCTAGCTAACTAAATCTAACTAGACTAGCTGTGAATTAAAACTCATCAAACTCTCTTTCTTTTAGTTTGTTAAATCTTCTCCAGTTGCCGTTTGCCTCTTTAAACCATCACATGGACGATGTCATAGTGCAGCTCATTTATATTCCATGGTTTTACACTTGCTCTCTTTTTTCTCCGCTTCTCTCTACACAGGTTAGCAGTTAGCTCACCATGCAGCTAGAACCATCATTTATTTATTTATTCATTTATTTATTTTTATTTATTTATTCATTTAAGTTGCGCTAGGGGTGTTTTGAAGTTCTTGAACTTACTACTGCTGTCACAGCTCACAGTGTGATGTCACACTAGCTAGTGAGGGGAGAGACTGCTGAGTGCTCTAATATGTGGAGCATGTCTGTAGCTTAAATGTTGTGCAGGTTGACCACAAAATGTTTGGGTTCAACAATGTAAGCCACTCAAATGCTTGCCGAAAGCTGATTGGTTAAAGGAGGCCACACATTTTGACTCATAATGTCATCCTTACAACCTCATTTATTATCAGTCTCAGAGATGCAATATGCAAAATTTTAATATGATCGGATAAACAGATGCTGAGAAGCAGGTTTTAACAAGTATAGCACCCCCTAATGGTGTACATGTGCCCAAACGGAAAGGCTACTTTAGAGTCATGTGTTGTAGAAGCATGTGAAGTTTCCATTTTTTTGAAAGAGGCGAATTTGAATTATAGAATTATGAGATAATTTTGAATTCGTCAAGAAGGATGAATTACCACATGACTGCCAAATGGCATATAATAACAATGTTTTCAATAACATTTAGGGATGAGAGTCTTGCAAATACTTTGACACTAGTTACATGGGGATTTAGCAAAAAAAATCTAGGACTTGTTCACAAAAGTGTGTGTCATATATTACACTAAAAGAAAACAATGTCAGCAGACCTATTTGGTCCAAATTGCAAACTGAGTTGAAATTAGGAAATTAATTTAGTCGGTAAGGATTATGGTTTATATAGCACCCCTTTGAGGCCAAAAGAGTTCATGAAATTTAAATCTTGATTATATAGCAGCCTGTCTCTACTTGTTTAATATTGTATTTAAAAAGCAATATATTCTTAAAACAATCACAAGGAATCCATCTTGATGTGGAAGTATTATATAAAAGTGCTAAAAGGTAGATTTCTGGAAAATGGTTACTTATTTCTGTACATTACCGGAAAAAATCTTGTTTAATTGTAAAAAAAAAAAAAAAAAAACTATTGATTAAGCTGCTATAAACCTACATATAAATCAGCTAATTCTGTATGAGGTAATAAATCATAGTGCTAAAGACAATTTGTGTAAGGGATTCAAAGTGATTTGGAGGGAACTTTACCCATAAGGTGTTTCTTGGTATTCTGCTCTGGCCTAAACATGATTATGAAACACTTGGGAACAAAAATACAAGTAATCAAACCAAAGCTTGAAGCCAGAATAGCAAATATTTCTACAGCTACAGTGAACTTTCCAGGAGAGCTGACATAAGCTGGAATTAAGGTAACCCACACTGCACAGAATATGAGCATGCTGAATGTGATGAACTTGGCCTCATTAAAGTTATCAGGCAGCTTCCGTGCTAGAAAAGCAAAAATAAAACACAAAAGAGCCAGAAATCCTATATAACCCAGCACAGCCCAGAATCCTATAGCTGAACCTAATGCACATTCCAGGATTATCCTTTCCTTGTACTGCTTTAGATTTTTGAAGGGGAGAGGAGGAGATATTGTCAACCAAAGAACACAAATTAGAACCTGTATTAGAGTGAAACCAAGAACACTGAGTCTCTGCTGTGGAGGCCCAAACCATTTCATGGCATTACTGCCTGGAAGTGTAGCTCTGAAGGCCATTAACACCACTATTGTTTTCCCCAGAACACAGGAGATGCAGAGGACGAAGGTGATCCCGAACGCTGTGTGGCGCAGCATACAGGACCACTCAGAGGGCTGACCAATAAAAGTAAGTGAGCAGAGGAAACACAGAGTCAGTGAGAAGAGCAGCAGGAAGCTCAGCTCTGAGTTGTTTGCTCGGACGATTGGAGAAGTTCTATGTTTGTAGAAAACAGCAGCCACACATACAGCTATGAAGGCCCCAGAGATGGAGAATGCTGTCAGGATGATGCTCATAGTGTCGTCCCAGGACAGGAATTCCACAGGTTTGGGGAGGCAGCTGTCTCGCTGGGTGTTGGGCCAGAGCTCAGGAGGGCAGTGCACACAGTTCAAAGAGTCTAAAACATGAGAAAAACATATGAAACTATATTTTAGAAAGAGCTACATGGGAATAAAAAAATAAACTAAATATATTGGGGCTGTCCACAGCAATATTATCCACTGTATTGTGATACACAACCTGTCTTGTTGCTGATCTCTCCTTCTGCACATGGTATACAGTCGTAGCAGCAGACTGGCTTTCCTTTCTGTACAGCCTTCCTGGTTCCTGGTGGACAGCTCTCACTGCACACAGACCTTGGCACCTTAAAGATATTACACAAATGCATTTGTCGTATGTCAAAAAAAAATTGCCTGCCATTCATTTTTGTTTTGAGTTAGTGGTACTTAATTAATTTAGGGCAATCTACTTCCACCAAATATTTGAGCAAAAACTTTTGGTATTTTGATCTGTAATTAGAGTGAATTGTTGAATTATTTTGACTCAAATACTTAGAGAAGCAAAATAATTAGAGAAGTTTCATCACTTTGATGTGCAGAAATAAACGTTAAACCAGTATTTTCCTTGTTTAAAAGGAACTTGATATCAATGATGTGAACTTGTTTTTTTGTGTTTTTAGAATATTTTCAAAGTGAGTTTAGACAACAATTTTCACAACTTACTACCCTTTTTATTTTACGTTCATTTTGAGATCTGCTGACTGTGTTGTACTGTACCTTGGTCTGTCCTCCCATCCAGCTGATAGCTCTGCTCACAATGAACTCCTGGCCTCTTGGTTTGGATGAGTCATAGTGGCCCACTGTGATTAAATCTATTGTGCCATCTTTCCTAACCTGCCAGTTTATGAGATCGTAGACGGCCACAGAATCTCCACTGGAATCAAACGAGACTTGAAAACCATTTTTTGTAGTGAAGTTTACTGTCTTGAGCTGGTCGAGTATCTGCAGTGGGACACATAATTTGGTAAACTGTGAATGAAACTGGGATTTTGAACTGTGAACCTGTATCAAGCATTTCAAATTATTAAAAACAATATTTCTTTATAGATGAATATTGACATGTTGATTCATTCTGAAGGATTGGGACAATGGTTTCATTGTGATGGCAAATAGTGTCTCAGTGTTCCTGTTTGTAATTATTCTGCAGGGGCACAAAAAATTTAAGAAACTGTCAACGAAACTATGACTTGGAAATATGAAATTTGATCAATTGTTTGCATTGTATGCATTAGAATATATATATATATATATATATATATATATATATATATATATATATATATACATATATATATATATATATTCTAATGCATACAATATATATTTGTGCTTTGTTGTACTGCTATATTGACAAGAAATATAGTACGATATCTCATCATTTCAACGTTTACTTCACAGAATTGTGTCATGTGTTCCATGAAAAACAGCATGTCTCAGTAAATATTATTTTTATGAGAAGCCACAATGTTAATGACTGATTTAAGGCTTTTAGTTTAAAAATGGTATGTCAAAATTATTGTAAATATGTAAATATTTGTTTTATATTTCTGATAAATTATCACTAAAACACTGACACCTTCATGTGTCGAAAAAAGATTGTCATTGGAGTTACTAATGAAACAATAAGTGACCAACCCACTTGATACAGTGAAGGTAAAATAGCCCATACAGCCCAATTTAAATACAGCAATTAAAATGTGCATTTTTAAGATAAAATCGTACTTATTCTAGTTATAATACAACCTGCGGGAAAGATTTATACCTGCCATGGTGTGAATTTAGCGCTCTTGTCGCACTGCGTGTCATTACAGATAACACCGTGGATGGCATGCGCTATGGCATACGTAGCTTTGTACACCAGGTTAGTCACACGCAGCTGCGACGTGTCTGTATATGGGTTCTGCAGCGCGCGGACATCCTCGCTGCCGTCACATTCCCGCGCGCCCTCTGAGGAGCCTTTTAGGCTACAGCTGAACGAGCTCTCCCAAAACTCCGTTAGCAGAGGTGATTTCAGTGCTTGTTCTGGAGAGAGATCCAGAAGAAACTCACGGAAACCTGGAATCACTGAGCGGGGGACCCCAAATCCTATCGCCCCAGCGCACATGTTAAAGCGCAGAAACTCTGGATCTATGATCCAGGCGTCGGTGCCGATCCACTGAAGGGGAGGCGGCGGCTGTCTTGTCAGTTCCTCTAATAGAAATCTTAAATCGCCTTCATGAAGAAACGCTACTATTACCCGGGCTGTTGATCTGCGGATGACGTTTGCCACTCTCTCCAGTTTACTGCGCGGTTGTGTTCTGTAGTAGGACTCGGAGTACTCCACACAGATGCCCTCCTCCTCCGCAGCCTTTAGAAACGACGCCATTCCATAATTTCCGTAGTCTGTGTCGCTGCGCACTGCCCCAATCCATGTCCAGCCAAAATGCTTGACAATTTTTGCTAGTGCGGCCGCTTGGTGGTGGTCACTGGGGACGGTCCTGAGGAAGGCAGGATACTGACGCTTATTGCTCAGACATGCGCAGGTTGCGTAGTGACTCACCTGTTATTCAGAGTAGAAAAAAAAAAAAAGAAAAAAAAAAGGACGCGTTAGTTGATAAGCCCGATTTAATCCTAGCCCCAATTTATGGGATATACTATGCTTTCTCAGTCATTTATGGGACATGATATAGTTTTTTAGTTGCAATACACAAACAATTAACTTTGCAGACCACACTCACCTGCGGAATTCCAAAAAGACCAAGAATTCTAGTCATACTCATTGAAGATATGGAATAAGAATCTCCCACGAGAGCAGGAACAGCGGCGGCTGCAGATTTTGAACAGGAATCAGTATCATTGTAAAATGGTTCCATGCCGTTTGCAAACTGAAATGCAACTTTAACAGCCATCGGCACTTCAGAGCACGAGTCGTGTATCTCGTAGCCTAACATGATTCCGGGCAGGAGATCTGTTCTGTTGTTGATCTCGTGGATGGTGAACTCCATGGCACGGGCGAAGCGCAGCTCCCTAAAATTCATACTGCCCAGAAACATAAGATATATTAAAATCATTGACACAAAGTCAGTAAGTAGCGCATAACCGCAAAAAAATAGAAATCGGATTATCACAGTTTCTCTGTGATTCTCCCTGCACTGTTCACTCACAGACAGACCTCCCAGAGCACTGTGGCGGTAGCGGCTGTCTGGTGTAGCTGTTCTGCACTGATTTCATGTAGTAATGAATGGCGAAAGTCCCTCCAATCACAAAATCTCCTTTCATATAAATACCAGGCACCTGAGGCTCAGCCCACAGTCTGCAGCTGACCAGGTCAGATTTCCATGCTGCTGGTTTGAGTCCAGTTATCCACAGCACTGATAAGAACATCATTAAAGTGAGCTGCATGGTTTTCAGCCCCGTGGAGTGACTGCAGTGGTGACTGTGTTTACATAGACACCTTCTTATGATCCCCTGTGGGTGTAAGCATAGATTCAGGAGGCGTGGTTATAAGGATGTAATTTTTATACTGTTTTTCTGCGATGTTGAAATTGGCGTATTCAATGAATTACCATGGGCCGTATTCAGAGTTCAGCGTGCGCAGTAACGAAATGAAAAATAAAAAAAATTGCGCACAATTGTATTATATATATATATATATATATATATATATATAGTAGGTACCTAACATGGGGTCCTGCATATGGCCCAGGTGTCATGGCTGACTGGGGGCCCCGTTCAGAAGCCCACAATCAGCTTTCATATGTCCGGGGCCCCATGAAAGTGTCACATGCTGGCAGCCCTCGTATTAGGCCTTATGCTGGCCGCCGACATACAGTCCCTAGGAACTGTACACACAAGGAAATCCAATTATTGTCTCATTTTGCAGTCACATCTGACAAATGAAATAATTCATATTAATGTGATATCCATCAGTCAAGACTATTTTTCTTACAGTAGAATATGATAGTGATGTGGTGGTGTGCAGGGAAGTATATAAAATTGTCATATAATGTTGTCATATTCTGTATGCAGAACCAATTTTTATTACACAAATTGAATAAATATTCAAGTCCATATTTTTCTAACTTTTTTTAAACCAAAGACAATGATTTTTAGCTCAGCGATAAATAATAATAATAATAATAATAATAATAATAATAATAATAATAGCTGCTGATAAAGGAAGCAGTAAAAGGTAAACATAGCTGAACTCATATATTTCCTTTTTATGTCCACAAACTATGTTCATATTTTGTCAGTTAGCTAACAAGGATAACTAACTAACTAACAACTAATTAATGTATTTTGATTCAAAAGTAATCCTTAAGAACTCACTTGTAATTTGTATTCAAGATGACAAATGCAAAATTTATCATGATCAGATTTATATATGCTAAACAACAGTTATTTGGCACTTGCAGCGCCCCCTAATGATTTACAATGTGCTTCAACTAAAACACTACTTTAGAATCAGGTATTGTAGAAATTTTGTAGATTTATTGTAGATTTTTGGTCATGTTTATTTTTTATTTTTTGGAAAAAGCAAATTTATAATATTTTTAAAGGATTATGAAATAATCCAGAATGGTTAATTATGATAGCTAAATTGCTTATAAATGGCGGAGGCAGTCATAGAGGCACATAGCTACATTATTATGTCACTCACAAAACAAAAATGATAGGCTTATAGTTCACAGCTTTCACCAATAACAAAAACAAGAGTCTATTGTTAATCTTGTCACTCTGGCTACACTTGTTCAGCCATCAGATTTTTTTGCAGTATTGGTTCCTCTCTCTTAGCTCTCTCTACTAAATGAAAGAATGGCATATTAGTAAGGAGAGAGACAATTATCCACAGATGCACATGCTTATCATACAGACTGCTACTTCAATCAAATTAGCCATCCACTTCACAGACACCACCTGACCACATCTGCAAGGCCACGCAGTAACATGAGGATTTAGCACTAGGACTAGTCTATAAAAGTATGGTTCACATATTTTTCAAAATAGCATAAAATCAAAATAAGACAAAGCTAAATGGTCCACATTGCTAATTAGTTTGACAGGAGCCAAATAAAATAGGGGGAAAAAATATATATATATTAATTTTGTCTCTAAAAATTTGGGTTCACCTAATGCCCCTTTGAGGCAAATAAGGGTCCTGTCATTCAAATGAGTAGTGGGAGGGACTAGTGACAAAGTTTTATGTCCACATAATTGTGGTTGATCTCGGTGAATCATTTTAGTGGAGAATAAGAATAATAAGAAAAACTCCCTCAATCATAACAGGGTCCTACACTCTGCACATGCTTGGACACTATATGGTAGCATGTAAAACAAATGCAAGTGAAGCATCTATGAAGCTTTTACAGTGAGCTATCAAATCAGTTGTTTCCCTAGGTAAAGCCCCTGTGCCTCTTCTGAAACACGTAAGGCCGGGTCTTTTCTAACTGTTCCTAAAGCAGTGTTCTTGGACAGTTTGGGAAAATCATCAGACACTCTGAAATCACATCCCTCAGCAGATTTCTAAGTCCTTGTCTAAGACACTCTGATAGTATGGAGGAAAGTGCTCACATTTCACTGACTGTACACTGCTGGATCTCACTGAAGAGGTAAGTAAGGCTTTTCGTTATTTCTATATGACAATGATGAAAAAGTACATATGGATTTTTTTCCAATTTTTCTCCTTCCTTATTTTAGACACATTAAGCTGCATATATTCTAACTCTTGCAAACTCAACGTCACTAGACAGTTCTACACAGAGGAGAATGCAGAGTGCCGATTCCATTATTTCATCTACCAGATACTGCATAGACTGAAATGACGCTGAGTGAGTAGGAGACAGAGGTGGCTATCCTACCACCAAATCTTGACGGACAGGAGCCTCTCATTATTTGTTTAAAATTGAATTTAATAAGCAATATATTCTCAAAACAATATAAGGGTTCAATTTAGATGTGGAAGTACAATATGAAAGTGCTAAAAGGTAGATTTAGGGACAATTCTGTTTAATTTGCCATTTTATATTATTATCTATTATCATTAAAGTGGTATATGTGAAAAAGTTACTTTCATATTTCTACACAGAACATAAATTAGTTATAAATATGTATTAAAGAAGCTGCTATGTACACATAAACCTACACATAAATCAGTACTTTTTGTATGAGGAGCTGCATATACAATAAGTGTGAGAGTCTCAGAGAGACTTAGAGGTTCCTTTTCCCATAAGGTGTTTCTTGGTATTCTGCTCTGGCCTAAACATGATTATGAAACACTTGGGAGCAAAAATACAAGTAATTAAACCAAAGCTTGAGGCAAGAGTAGCAAATATCTCTACAGCTACAGTGAACTTTCCAGGAGAGCTGACATAAGCTGGGATAAAGGTAAGCCAAACTGCACAGAATATGAGCATGCTGAATGTGATGAACTTGGCTTCATTAAATTTATCAGGCAGCTTCCGTGCTAGAAAAGCAAAAATAAAACATAAAAGAGCCAGAAATCCTATATAACTCAGCACAGCCCAGAAACCTATAGCTGAACCTAATCCACATTCCAGGATTATCCTTTCCTTGTATTGTTTTAGATTTTTGAAAGGAAAAGGAGGAGATGTTGTCAACCAAACAACACAAATAAGGACCTGTATGAGAGTGAAGGTGAGAACACTGAGTCTCTGCTGTGGAGGCCCAAACCATTTCATGGCATTACTGCCTGGAAGTGTAGCTCTGAAGGCCATTAACACCACTATTGTTTTCCCCAGAACACAGGAGATGCAGAGGACGAAGGTGATCCCAAACGCTGTGTGACGCAGCATACAGGACCACTCAGAGGGCTGACCAATGAAAGTAAGTGAGCAGAGGAAACACAGAGTCAGTGAAAAGAGCAGCAGGAAGCTCAGCTCTGAGTTGTTGGCTCGGACGATGGGAGAAGTTCTGTGTTTGTAGAAGACACCAATCACACATACAGCTATGAAGGCTCCAGCGATGGAGAATGCTGTAAGGATGATGCTCAGAGTGTCGTCCCAGGACAGGAACTCCACAGGTTTGGGGAGGCAGCTGACTCGCTGGGCATTGGGCCAGAACTCAGGAGCGCAAGGAACACAGTTCAAAGAGTCTGAGAGATTAGAAAAATATACTTTGAACTGTAGATAGAACTGTAAGTGAATGACAAAATAATTAAATAAATTATAGCTGTCCCCATCATTCTGTATTGTGATACACAACCCGTCTTGTTGCTGATCTCTCCTTCTGCACATGGTATACAGTCATAGCAGCAGACTGGCTTTCCTTTCTGCACAGCCTTCCTGGTTCCTGGAGGACAGCTCTCACTGCACACAGATCTCGGCACCTGAAAGACATTAAACAAATGCAAAAAATGTATTGTTGTTTTAAAAACAAAGAAAGTGAGTAAAGAAATAGTAAAGCACATTTATAAATGTAAAACGTGTTTGTATACATTGTGTATTGCTAACTTTAGATCAATTAGATTTGCATTTGGAGGTTTAAGTAAAAAAGAGACATTGGTGACTGATTTATTAATGGTTTGCTAGTGTCTTTTAATTAGCTAATATTTTTCACAACTTCCATCATTAAAAAAAAATCACTTTGGGGGTATAACAGGTTGTCTTCATGTTAAACTTTAGGAATAGATGTGTATTAGAAGTATTCATTACGTTAACTGTGATGGAGTTTTGTGTTGCAGTTTACCCATCTAGCTTGTATTAGTAATATGCAGGTGAACAAGTGGATGTGGGATGGATTAAGACAATTAGCACACAAAAAGCAATGAAAGCCTCTGTGGTACTGAAAGTTTTGTAGTGTATTGTTTTTTTGTAGTGGTTTGGGCATCTGATCCGGATGCCCCCTGGACGCCTCCCGGTGGGGGTGTACCAGGCACCACCTACTGGGACAAGACCCTGGGGTCATCCTAGGACCTGCTGGAGGGATTATATCTCCAGGTTGGCGGGGGGAGCGGCTTGGGGTCCCCGGGAATGAGCTGGAGGAAGTTGGGGGGACAGGGTTGTCTGGGATTCTCTGCTCTCCCAACTGCTACTGCGACCCTATCTGGACTAAGTGGTTAATGATGATGATGATGATGATGATGATGATGATGATGATGATGATGTTTTTTAATATGAGGAGCCGCCCAGAGTTCTTTGATGCCAATGTTCATGTAGTGCTGTCATTAGGCACTTGTTTACAGCAAAGTACAGAATTAATGTAACATTTTTGATTTTATCTTTTGAATTAGTGACTTAAGACAATCAAAATATTTGTGGAGTCACTTAGGTTTCGTTTTTTATGTGGATTTAGTCTAAAGGCTTAATTATTAATCAGAGCAATAAATATTTTGAGATTCTTTCCTTTTTTGTGTATAACAAAATATATCTAAACCTATGTTTTTCTTTCAAAAAATATTTCATTGCATGAATAAAAACTTGCTTTAATGTATTTTTTAAAACTTTTTTAAAGCAAGTTTAGACAACAATTATCACAACTGACTGCCTTAATTATTTTGGGTTCTTCTAATTGACACAGGGTTGCTATCAAAGACTCCCAGAAGTTTTGGACTGTACCTCGGTCCGTCCCCCCACCCAGATGATAGGTCTGCTTATACTGAACTCCTGGCCTATTGGTCTGGATGAGTCATAGTGGCCCACAGTCACAAAATCCAAACCACCATCTTTTTTAAATTGATAGTTTATGAGCTCGTAGACGGCCACAGGATCACCATTGTCATCAAACGAGACCTGATAGCCAGTCTTTGTAGTGAAGTTCACTGTTTCGAGCTGGTCGAGTATCTGCAGTGGAATATATAATTGGACAAACTGTGAATGCTGATCAACTGTTTCAACACATTGCAAAAAAATGCTTATTCAGGATCCATGAATATTGAGATAATGAGTCACTGTCAAATATTATTTGGGCAATTTGATCATTGTGATGGTAAATAGTATCTCTAAACTCAAACTAATGGAAACCAGCTCACAATAACAATAAACCAAATAAAGGGTGAGGCATATTTATATTTATATAACACCAAAAGTGTTGAAATATTTCTGTACCCAGATATGGATAACACAATTTGGGGTATTTTTAAGACAGAATGTGTTAAATCAGAAAACGCTATGGCGCAAAAAGTGTTACAATGGCTAACACAAGTAAGTGTATTGTTATTTAACACGTCATTTTTTTTTATTGTACTTTGATGAGAATTTTTTAAATTGGAACAAATGAACAACGCCCCACAATTTATACCCATATAGCCCAGTTGACACAAAACAATAAATGTATACGATTTTAAAGATAAAATCATGCTCATTCCAATTATACGGCAACCTACGGAACTGTTCTTAAATGTAGCAGTTTTTTTACCTGCCATGGTGTGAATTTAGCGCTCTTGTCGCACTGCGTGTCATTACAGATAACACCGTGGATGGCATGCGCTATGGCATACGTAGCTTTGTACACCATGTTAGTGATGCGCAGCTGCGACGTGTCTGTGTACGGGTTCTGCAGCGCGCGGATATCCTCGCTGCCATCACATTCCCGCGCGCCCCCTGAGGAGCGTTTTAGGCTACAGCTGAACGAGCTCTCCCAAAACTCCGTTAGCAGAGGTGATTTCAGTGCTTGTTCTGGAGAGAGATCCAGAAGAAACTCACGAAGACCTGGAATCACTGAGCGGGGGACCCCAAATCCTATCGCCCCAGCGCACAAGTTAAAGCGTAGAAACTCTGGATCTACAATCCACGCGTCGCTGATCCACTGAAGGGGAGGCGGCGGCTGTCTTGTCAGTTCCTCTAACAGAAGCCTCACTTCGGCTTCGTGAACAAACGCCACTAATACCCGGGCTGTTGATTTTCGGATGACGTTTGCCACTCTCTCCAGTTTACTGCGCGGTTGTGTTCTGTAGTAGGACTCGGAGTACTCCACACAGATGCCCTCCTCCTGCGCAGCCTTTAGAAACGACGCCATTCCAGTATTTCCATAAACTGAGTCGCTGCGCACTGCCCCAATCCATGTCCAGCCAAAGTACTTGACAAGTTTTGCTAGTGCGGCAGCTTGATGGTAGTCACTAGGCACGGTCCTGAAGAAGGCAGGATACTGACGCTTATCGCTCAGACATGCGCAGGTTGCGAAATGACTCACCTATTTTCAGTCCAGCAAAACAAAAAGACGCGTTGAATGAAAAGCCTGTTTTAATTCCAGCGCTTAGGTAAGGGATATACTATGCTTTCTTAGTTATTATTAAACACAAATAATTAATTTTGCACCATTTGGTCAACAATTACCTGCGGAATTCCAAAAAGACCCAGCATTCTAGTCATGGTAATTGAGGAGATGGAATAAGAATCTCCCACGAGAGCAGGAACAGCGGCAGCTGCAGATTTTGAACAGGAATCAGTATCATTGAAAAATGGTTCCATGCCGTTTGCAAACTGAAATGCAAGTTTGAGTGCCATCGCCACCTCAGAGCACGAGTCGTATATCTGGTATCCTAACGTGATTCCCGGCAGGAGATCTGTTCTGTTGTTGATCTCGTGGATGGTGAACTTCATGGCACGAGCGAAGCGCAGCTCTCTGAAATTCATACTGTTTAGAAACATAAAACATAACAAACAAAACAATGACACAAAGTAAGTTTCCGTCTTACCAAATGCTGATAGACGTCACTATCTCAGTAAGTAGTGCATAACTGCAAAAAAGAGGAAAAGTGATCAATATAATTTCTGTTACTCCACAGCACAACTGTTCACTCCACACTCACAGACAGACCTCCCAGAGCACTGCAGCTGGAGTGGCGGTCTTGTGTAGCTGTTCTGCTCTGATCTCATATAGTAATGAATGGGGAAAGTACCCCCAATCACAAAATCTCCATCCATATAAAAACCTGGCACCTGAGGCTCAGCCCACAGCCTGCAGCTGACTAGACCAGATTCACATGATGTTGGACTGAGCCCAGTTAACAACAGCATTAATACAAACATCATTAAAGTGAGCTGCGTGATATGCTTGGTAGATCTCAGCCCTCTGAAGGACAGAGTGAGTGTATTTAAAGAACCTCCTTGTTATGATGCCCTGTGGGCGTGAGCCTAGACTCAGGAGGCGAGGCTATGTGATGAATAGTAATTGCAGTGATGGACATAACTTTGTTTTTGTCTGTCTCTGTTGTTTCCAATTGTGGCGTATATATATATATATATATATATATATATATATATATATATATATATATATATATATATACACACACATCAATATGCATATGCCCCAGGTTGCATGGCTGACTGGGGGCTCCATTGAGAAGCCCACAATCAGGTGATAGTGCCACATGCCCTCATATCAGCCTTATGCTGGCTGCCGACATACGGTCCCTAATATTGGGGGCTTATATGTGCCCTGGTTTGACCACTGACTGGGGCCTCTTAATGGGCAGCCCAAGGTGGGCCAAATTTTTAGCCCACATTTTTAGCCTTTTGCTGGAATAGCCCATGAACACCTAGACTCACTTGTGCCCATAATTTCACGATATATGCAGGCAACCCACACTTCACCCCTTTTAAATATGCTAAATGTGGGTTTGGCCACAGTGGGGCCAGACAGAATCCATCCTTCTGGGTCACGGAGGATGCTGAAGCCTATCCCAGCATTCATCGGGCAGAAGTCAGGAAAGACCCTGGTCGCCAGTCCATCACAGGGCAGACTAGACAGCATCCTATTTACTAAAAAAACTTAGGTCAAGAATGAACTTAAAAATTAAAATATTACTTGTAAACCATTATAAAAATCCAAACGCCTGAGGTGTACACAGAAATGGAAGAAGGAGGTCCAGTGTCAAGACACTTTCAAACTCAGAAACCTTCTAACCATACAAAACATGCTCACAAACACAATGAAGACAGAATTTAATATAAAAAAATAAAATAACAATAAAATAAATTCAAAAGCTCTAAAAAATTAATACAGAAATGTACAAATGTATCCTGCCTTTCACTGAATGACCCCTGGGATAGGCTCTAGGTCCCCCCATGACCAAAAAGGATAAGTGGCTAGCAAAATGTGTTTGTGTGTGTGTGTGTGTGTGTGTGTGTGTTTGTGTACAAATGTGAAAATAAATAAATAAATACTTAAGGTCTTAATTGTTTTAATTCAAGTCTTAATTAATGTGATTATTTATTATTTTAATTGTTTTCCCTACTGGCAGGCACACACACACACACACACACACACACACACACACACACACACACAAGAAAGTCCAATTATTGTCTCATTTTCCAGTCACATCTGACAAACTAAATATTTCATATTAATGTGATATCCTTCAGTCATGGCTATTTTTCTTACAGTAGAATATGATATTGATGTGGTGGTGTGCAGGGAAGTATACAAAATTGTCATATAATGTTGTCATATTCTGTATGCAGAACTGATTTTTATTATACAAATGGAATAAATATTCAAGTCCATATTTTCTATTGAAAGAACCAAGATTAGAGTTAATCCTAATGAATATTCTACTAAACAATTACAGTCATAATGGAATATTATGCAAACTCTTCTTAAACCAATGACAATGATTTTCAGCTCAGCGATAAATATAATAATATAATAATAATAATAATAATAATATATAATAATAGCTGCTGATAAAGGAAGCAGAAAAAGATAAACATAGCTGAACTCATATGTCTGACATACTGAAGCTGGTCATTGATAGTTAGCGTTAATATAAAGCCTGGGTTTTTAGAGTTAGTCACTGTGAGGCATTTCATCTATTCATAGAGCTACTGGGCGTTTCTTTGTATTGTTTTGCCTTTTTGCCTAACCTTTCAGGACAAACTGCTTCCTGTTTGTCTTTTTTTGGATTTGACTTATGCATGAGTTCTGACTATGACTCTGGATTCTGATTCAAACAGTAAAGCCTCTTTTTGCCTTTTTACCTGCGAGCATATGAATCATTCTGTCATGTTACAATATTTCTCTTTGAATTCTTTAAATATTGAAGTCTTATTGTTAAACTTGCAGAGAACCTTCAACACATAAAACTCAATATTGCTCTAGTCAGCACTGATGGCTTCAAATAGCTGAAAACCATTTCCAAGCTAATTTGTGTTTAGTGTGAGAAGGAATATTATTTATAGAGGTTAAATTTGCAAATACAACCTCATTTCTAAAAACAGTGGGATACTGTGCAAAATGTAAATGAAAACAAAATGCAATGATGTGCAACTCATTTAAACCCCATATTTATTTTAAAATATATAAAATGTATTAAATAAAATATATATTAAATGTTGAAACTGAGAAACACATTTGCCCATTTTGAATTTGATGGCAGCAACATGTTCCAAAAAAGTTGGGATGGGGCAACAAAAGACAGGTAAAGTTGTGTAAAAAAAAAAACAAAAAAAACAAAACAAAAAAAACACCAGGTGGTTAATTGGCAACAGGTCAGTAACATCACTGGGTAAAAAAAAAAAAAGCATCACAGAGAGGCTGGGTCATTCAGAAGTAAAGATGAGGAGGGGTCCACCACTCTGTGAAAGACTGTTTAGGCAAATTGTGCAACAATTCAAGAATAACGTTTCTAAATGTAATATAGCAAAGAACTTGGGGATTTCATCATCTACAGTATATAATATCATGAAAAGATTTAGACAATCCAGAGAAATCTCTGTATGTAAGGGACAAGGCTGAAAACCAGTACTGGCTTGCTGTGATCTTTGGGGCCTCAGGTGGTACTGCATTAAAAACAGACATGATACTGTAGTAGAAATCACTGCAAAGGCTCAGGAACACTTCTGAAAACCACTGTTTGGAAACAGAGTTCCTCACTGCATCCACAAATGCAAGTGAAAACTTTATGATGCAAAGAAAAAATCTTATATAAACAGGATGCAGAAACGCTGCTGCCTTCTCTGGGTCTGAGCTCATTTAAGATGGATTGAGGCAAAGTGGAAAAGTGTTCTGTGGTCTGCCGAAGCAAAATTTGAAATTATTTTTGGAAATCGTGGACACTGCAACCTCCGGACTAAAGACTTTTAGGTTTGTTATCAGCACACAGTTCAGAAGTCAGCATCTGTGATGGTACGGGAGTGCATTAGTATACATTGCATGGGTGGCTGGCACATCTGTGAAGGCACCATTAACTCTGGAAGGCACATGCAGGTTTTGGCAACATATGTTGCCATTAGAACAGTGTCTTTTTCAGGGAAGGCCTTGGTTATTTCAGCAAGGCAACGTCAAACCACATTTTGCACATATTACAACAGCATGGCTGTATAGTAAAAAAGTTAGGGTGCTAAATTGGCTTGCCTGCAGTTTGGACCTGTCATCACTGAAAACATATGGCACTTTATGAAACAAGAAAAATGACAAAAGAGGCCCTGAACTATGAGCAGCTGAAATCCTACACCAAGTAAGAATGGGAAAACATATCATTTTCAAAACTACAGCAATTGGTCTCCTCAGTTCCGAAACACTTACACAGTGTTATTAAAAGAAGGGTCTCCTTTGTTGTATTTTTCATTTCATAATGCGCCAAATGTTATTACTGGGTGACACGTCTGGACTGTAGGCAGGCCAGTGTAGCACCTGGACTCTTTTAATATGGAGCAATACTGTTGTAATACATGCAGAATGTGGTTTGGCATTGTCTTGCTGAAATAATCAAGGCCTTCGCTGGAAAAGATGTCATCTGGATGGTAGCATATGTTGCCAAAACATGTATATATCATTCATCATTAATGGTGCCTTCACAGATGTGCACGTCACCCATGCCATGAGCACAAATGCACCCTTATACCATTGCAAATACTGGCTTTTGATCTGTGTATTGATAACAAGCTGAGTGGTCTTTAGCCTGGAGGACACAGTGTCCATGATTTCCAAAATTAAATGTTTACTTGTCAGATGACAGGACATGTTTACACTTCCCCTCAGTTTTAAATGAGCTCAGGCCCAGAGAAGGTGGCAGTGTTTCTTTGTCCTGTTTATATATGGTTTCTTCTTTGCGTTTTAGAATTTTAACTTGCATTTGTAGATGCAGTGACAAACTTTTTTTTATAGACAGTGTTTTCCAAAAGTGTTGCTGAGTCCATGCAATGATTTCCACTACAGAATCATGTCTGTTTTTAATGCAGTACCACTTGAGGGCCCAAAGGTCATGGCCAGCAAATACTGGTTTTTGGCCTTGTCCCTTGCATACAGAGATTTCTCCAGATTTTCTGAATCTTTTAATGATATTATGTACTGTAGATGATGAAAAGCAAAAGTTCTTTGCTATTTTATGTTGAGAAACGTTCTTCGTGAATTGGTGGTGAATTTGTGGTGAATAACTCCAGACTCTGCCAGACTCACCCTCTCTGGGACGCTTTTTTATACCCAATCATGTTACTGACCAGGAGTTTTTTTTTTAGCATTACCCAAATTTACCAGTCCTTTGTTGTCCCTGTCCCAGCATTTATGTTGTTGGCATCAAATTCAAAATGGGCATATATTTTTCCACAATAAAATCCTCAGTTTTAACATTAGATTTGTTGTCTTTGTACTATTTTTAATTAAATATATAGTTTAAATTATTTGCACATCATTGCATTATGTTTTTACTTACATTGTGCAGAGCGTCATAACTTTTTTGGAAATGGGGTTGTATTACCTTGTTGCTTGTATTAAATCATTTTAAAATGCTATTTCACTTCTCTATTCACAGTGTAGTAACATTGAAGACACATAGGACTAATTTCATAACAACATTCAAATGACTTTAATGTTCAAGGAGTTAAGTTATACTAATGCTTGCTGATAGCTAATTGGTTGATGATGGCCATGTATTTTGATTCAAAAGTAATTCTTAGGAACTGACTTGTAATTTGTATTCAAATACGATTTATAATCAGGTATAGTAGAAAAAAATTATAATTTTTGAAAATGTTTAATTTTTCTTTTTTGGAAAAAGCAAACTAGCCACCCACCTCACAGACAGCACCTGACCATGCCTGCAGGGCCTCACAGTAACATGAGGATTAAGCAAAAAAAAAAAAAAAAAAACCTAGGACTAGTCTATAAAAGTATAATTCGCATATTTTTCAAAATAGCATAAAATCAAATAAGACCAAGCTAAATGGTCCAAATTGCATATTAGTTTGATGGGAACCAAATAAAATACAGGGAAAAAAATAATAATAATTTTGTCAGTAAAAATTCAGGTTAATATAGTGCCCCTTCAATGCAAATAAATGAGTAGTGGGGGGTACGAGTGACAAAGTTTTGTATCCGCATAATTATGCTTGATCTCAGTGAATCATTTGAGTGGAGAATAAGAATAATAAGAAAAACTCCCTCAATCACAACAGGGTCCTACACTCTGCACATGCTTGGACACTATATGGTAGCATGTAAGTCAAATGCAAGTGAAGCATCTATGAAGCTTTTACAGTGAGCTATCAAATCAGTTGTTTCCCTAAGTAAAGCCCCTGTGCCTCTTCTGAAACACGTAAGGCCGGGTCTTTTCTAACTGTTCCTAAAGCAGTGTTCTTGGACAGTTTGGGAAAATCATCAGACACTCTGAAATCACATCCCTCAGCAGATTTCTAAGTCCTTGTCTAAGACACTCTGATAGTATGGAGGAAAGTGCTCACATTTCACTGACTGTACACTGCTGGATCTCACTGAAGAGGTAAGTAAGGCTTTTCGTTATTTCTATATGACAATGATGAAAAAGTACATATGGATTTTTTTCCAATTGTTCTCCTTCCTTATTTTAGACACATCAAGCTGCATATATTCTAACTCTTGCAAACTCAAGGTCACTAGACAGTTCTACACAGAGGAGAATGCAGAGTGCCGATTCCATTATCTCATCTACCAGATACTGCATAGACTGAAATGATGCTGAGTGAGTAGGAGAGAGAGGTGGCCATCCTACCACCAAATCTTGACGGACAGGAGCCTCTCATTATTTGTTTAAAATTGAATTTAATAAGCAATATATTCTCAAAACAATTATAAGGGTTCAAGTTAGATGTGGAAGTACAATATGAAAGTGCTAAAAAGTAGGTTTAGGGACAATTCTGTTTAATTTGGCATTTTATATTATTATCTATTATCATTAAAGTGGTATATGTGAAAAGGTTACTTACATATTTCTACACAAAACATAATTTAGTTATAAATATGTATTAAAGAAGCTGCTATGTACACATAAACCTACACATAAATCAGCACTTTTTGTATGAGGTGCTGCATATACAATAAGTGTGAGAGTCTCAGAGAGACTTAGAGGGCACTTTACCCATAATGTGTTTCTTGGTATTCTGCTCTGGCCTAAACATGATTATGAAACATTTGGGAGCAAAAATGCACGTAATTAAACCAAAGCTTGAAGCAAGAGTAGCAAATATCTCTACAGCTACAGTGAACTTTCCAGGAGAGCTGACATACGCTGGGATAAAGGTGATCCAGACTGCACAGAATATGAGCATGCTGAATGTGATGAACTTGGCTTCATTAAAGTTATCAGGCAGTTTCCGTGCTAGAAAAGCAAAAATAAAACACAAAAGAGCCAGAAATCCTATATAACCCAGCACAGCCCAGAAACCTATAGCTGAACCTAATTCACATTCCAGTATTATCCTTTCTTTGTATTGTTTTAGATTTTTGAAAGGAAAAGGAGGAGATATTGTCAACCAAACAACACAAATAACGACCTGTATGAGAGTGAAGGTGAGAACACTGAGTCTCTGCTGTGGAGGCCCAAACCATTTCATGGCATTACTGCCTGGAAGTGTAGCTCTGAAGGCCATTAACACCACTATTGTTTTCCCCAGAACACAGGAGATGCAGAGGACGAAGGTAATCCCAAACGCTGTGTGGCGCAGCATACAGGACCACTCAGAGGGCTGACCAATGAAAGTAAGTGAGCAGAGGAAACACAGAGTCAGAGAGAAGAGCAGCAGGAAGCTCAGCTCTGAGTTGTTGGCTCTGACGATGGGAGAAGCTCTGTGTTTGTAGAAGACAGCAATCACACATAGAGCTATGAAGGCCCCAGTGATGGAGAATGCTGTAAGGATGATGCTCAGAGTGTCGTCCCAGGACAAGAACTCCACAGGCTTGGGGAGGCAGCTGTCTTGCTGGGTGTTGGGCCAGAACTCAGGAGGGCAGCGCATGCAGTTCAAAGAGTCTGAAACATTAGAAAAATATTTAGAACCATATTTCTGAAAGAACAGCGAGGCCATGAAAAAATATATAAATTAATTAGGCCTGTCCTCAGCAATATTGTCTGTATTGTGATCCACAACCTGTCTTGTTACTGATTTCTCCTTCTGCACATGGTATACAGTCATAGCAGCAGACTGGCTTTCCTTTCTGCACAGCCTTCCTGGTTCCTGGAGGACAGCTCTCACTGCACACAGACCTTGGTACCTGAAAGACATTAAACATATGCAAAAAAAATCATTGTTGTTTTAAAAATAAAGTAAGTGAGTAAAGAAATAGTAAAGCACATTTAAAAATTTAAAACATCTTTGTATACGTTGTGTATTGGCTAACTTTAGATCAATTAGATTTGCGTTTGGAGGTTTAAGTAAAAAGAAATGTTCGCGACTGACTTATTAACGGTTTGCTAGTTTCTTTTAATTAGCTAATATTTTTCACAACTTCCATCATTAAAAAAAAATCACTTTGGGGGTATAACAGGTTGTCTTCATGTTAAACTTTAGGAATAGATGTGTATTAGAAGTATTCATTACGTTAACTGTGATGGAGTTTTGTGTTGCAGTTTACCCATCCCAGCTTGTATTAGTAATATGCAGGTGAACAAGTGGATGTGGGATGGATTAAGACAATTAGCACACAAAAAGCAATGAAAGCCTCTGTGGTACTGATTGTTTTGTAGTGTATTGTTTTTTTGTAGTGGTTTGGGCATCTGATCCGGATGCCCCCTGGACGCCTCCCGGTGGGGGTGTACCAGGCACCACCTACTGGGACAAGACCCTGGGGTCGTCCTAGGACCCGCTGGAGGCATTATATCTCCAGGTTGGCGTGGGAGCGGCTTGGGGTCCCCAGGAATAAGCTGGAGGAAGTTGCGGGGGACAGGGTCGTCTGGGATTCTCTGCTCTCCCAACCGCTACTGCGACCCTATCTGGACTAAGTGGTTAATGATGATGCTGATGATGATGATGATGTTTTTTAATATGAGGAGCCGTCCAGAGTTATTTGATGCCAATGTTCATGTAGTGCTGTCATTAGGCACTTGTTTACAGCAAAGTACAGAATGAATGTAATATTTTTCACGTTGTCTTTTGAATTAGTGATTCTCAGTGAACTTAACACATTCAAAATATTTGTGTAATGACTGGATTTAGTGTAAAGGTTTAATGATTAATCAGAGCAATAAATATTTTGAAATTCTTTCCTTTTCTGTGTGTAACAAATTCTAAACCTATATTTTTCTTAGAAAATACTTCTTTGAATGAATGACAACTTTCTTTAATGTTTTTTTTAAACTTTTTTAAAGCAAGTTTAGACAACAATTATCACAACTGACTGCCTTAATTATTTTGGGTTCTTCTAACTGACGTGGGTTTGCTATCAAAGACTCCTGGAAGTGTTCTACTGTACCTCGGTCTGTCCCCCCACCCAGATGATAGGTCTGCTCATACTGAACTCCTGGCCTATTGGTCTGGATGTGTCATAGTGGCCCACAGTGATGACACCCAAAGCACCATCTTTTTTAAATTGATAATTTATGAGCTCGTAGACGGCCACAGGATCACCATTGGAATCAAATGAGACCTGATAGCCAGTCTTTGTAGTGAAGTTCACTGTCTTCAGCTGGTCGAGTATCTGCAGTGGAACACATCATTGGACAAACTGTGAACGCTGATCAACACATTGTAAAAATGCTTATTCAGTATCGATATTGACATAATGACTCACTGTCAAATATTATTTGGGCAATTTGATCATTGAGATGGTAAATGGTATCTCTAAACTTTAAAACCGTTGAAATCAGCTGAAAATAACAATAAACCAAATAAAGTATGATGCATATTTACATGTATACTTTGTGGTATTACCATATTGACAAGACACATCCAATGATAATTCATATTTTTAATGTTTACTTCATTATTATTATTATTATCATTATTATTATTATTATTATTATTATTATTATTATTATTATTTTCCATGTTTTCCTGGAAACATAGCACATCTTAGCAGTGGCGTCACAGACGCTGATATATTACACTGTTAAACCATGTGTCTTAAAAACACCACATTGTGTCACTAACTGTATACACCAGTGGAGTCTGCTAGGACGACACATATTTTGTCATTTTAACACCAAATACCTTGAAATATTTCTGTTCCCAGTTATGGATAACACATTTTGGGGTACTTTTAAGACAGAATATGTTAAATCAGAAAACAGTATGAGACAAAAAGTGTTACAATGAGTAAAACAAGTGTTGATTTAACGCATCATTTTTTGGAGTTTACTTAATTTTAAAATTGAAACAAATGAACAACCCCCCACAATTTATACCCATATAGCCCAGTTGACACAAAACAATAAATGTGTATAATTTTAAAGATAAAATCATGCTCATTCCAATTATAGGGCAACCTACGGAACTGTTCTTAAATGTAGCAGTTTTATACCTGCCATGGTGTGAATTTAGCGCTCTTGTCACACTGAGTGTCATTACAGATAACACCGTGGATGGCATGCGCTATGGCATACGTAGCTTTGTACACCATGTTAGTGATGCGCAGCTGCGACGTGTCTGTATATGGGTTCTGCAGCGCGCGGATATCCTCGCTGCCGTCACATTTCCGCGCGCCTCCTGAGGAGCCTTTTAGGCTACAGCTGAAAGAGCTCTCCCAAAACTCCGTCAGCAGAGGTGATTTCAGTGCTTGTTCTGGAGAGAGATCCAGAAGAAACTCACGAAGACCTGGAATCACTGAGCGGGGGACCCCGAATCCTATCGCCCCAGCGCACATGTTAAAGCGCAGAAACTCTGGATCTACAATCCAGGCGTCGCTGCCGATCCACTGAAGGGGAGGCGGCGGCTGTCTTGCCAGTTCCTCTAACAGAAGCCTCACTTCGCCTTCATGAAGAAACGCTACTAATACCCGGGCTGTTGATCTGCAGATGACGTTTGCCACTCTCTCCAGTTTACTGCGCGGTTCTGTTCTGTAGAAAACCTCGGAGTACTCCACACAGATGCCCTCCTCCTGCGCAGCCTTTAGAAACGACGCCATTCCAGTATTTCCATAAACTGAGTCGCTGCGCACTGCCCCAATCCATGTCCAGCCGAAGTACTTGACAAGTTTTGCTAGTGCGGCAGCTTGATGGTAGTCACTAGGCACGGTCCTGAAGAAGGCAGGATACTGACGCTTATCGCTCAGACATGCGCAGGTTGCGAAAGGACTCACCTGTTATTCAGTACAGCAAAACAAAAAGACGCGTTAAATGAAAAGACTGTTTTAATTCCAGCGCTTAGGTAAGGGATATACTATGCTTTCTCAGTTATTATTAAACACAAATAATTAATTTTGCACCATTTGGTCTACAATTACCTGCGGAATTCCAAAAAGACCCAGCATTCTAGTCATGGTAATTGAGGAGATGGAATAAGAATCTCCCACGAGAGCAGGAACAGCGGCAGCTGCAGATTTTGAACAGGAATCAGTATCATTGAAAAATGGTTCCATGCCGTTTGCAAACTGAAATGCAAGTTTGAGTGCCATCGCCACCTCAGCGCACGAGTCGTATATCTGGTATCCTAACGTGATTCCCGGCAGGAGATCTGTTCTGTTGTTGATCTCGTGGATGGTGAACTTCATGGCACGAGCGAAACGCAGCTCTCTGAAATTCATACTGTTTAGAAACATAAAACATAACAAACAAAACAATGACACAAAGTAAGTTTCCGTCTTATCAAATGCTGATAGACGTCACTATCTCAGTAAGTAGTGCATAACTGCAAAAAAGAGGAAAAGTGATCAATATAATTTCTGTTATTCCACAGCACAACTGTTCACTCCACACTCACAGACAGACCTCCCAGAGCACTGCAGCTGGAGTGGCGGTCTGGTGTAGGTGTTCTGCTCTGATCTCATATAGTAATGAATGGGGAAAGTCCCCCCAATCACAAAATCTCCATCCGTATAAAAACCTGGCACCTGAGGCTCAGCCCACAGCCTGCAGCTGACCAGGTCAGGTTCACATGCTGCTGGACTGAGCCCGGTTAACAACAGCATTAACACAAACATCATTAAAACTGAAGTGAGCTGCATGGTATGTTTTGTAGTTCTCAGCCCTCTGAAGGACAGAGTGAGTGTATTTAAAGAACCTCCTTGCTATGAGGCCCTGTGGGCGTGAGCCTAGACTCAGGAGGCGTGGTTATGTGATGAATAGTAATTGCAGTGATGGACGTAACTTTTGTTTTTGTCTGTTTCTGTTGTTTTCAATTGTGGTGTATTGAGGTAATTAATCATAGGCCATATTTAGAGTTCAGCGTGGGCAGTGACACAATTGTAGTGCGCAATTTCTCGAGAGTGCGCAAAACAAAGGCATGATTCAGTTAGCCGAGATTCACACGAGATTGTCTTGCGTAATTACCTGCAGCGCCACTGTTTGGCCACCTCTTCTCACACTAACACTAATTTCACACTGTATGGCTAGTATTAGTACCAGGCTTAGGCTTAGGAACAGAGTGAGTGGTAGGTTTATGTTTTAGTTTAAGGTTCAGGTTAGGGTTAGAGTATATTCATATAGATTTAGTAGACAATTGGGAAAATTTAAGTTAAATGCTATACAATCAAACATAAATCATTTACAAAGGGCTATCCAAGTAGTGTTACCCTATTTCCCCCTTTATCAAGTGCTTCTTCAGAGACAGTTCATTGGACAGTTCATCACAATTGGAGGAGAACACTAACTGCCAATTTGCTTATATCAGATACTCTCCATGGTGCAATATGGTGGAAGAATTCCATAGTAATACCTATCTTTGAATGAGATGTTCAGTAAGCACATAGGGGTGTGATGTTTGGCCACACCCAGCTTTTCTCCACAAAATATTCTAGGCCAATATCCATCCACTAACTATGGGTTCATTTTATTTGCAAAGCATTCTATAGTTTATTTATAGATGTTTGACAAACAGTTTTTATTACTTTTTATAACTACTTTATTCATTATTATTTCAAAGTCATGTGATTCTCCATAGTGTTAGGGTTAGTATTATTACCAGGTTTAGGCTTGGAATATGAGTGAGGTTTAGATGATTGGTTTTGGATAGGCTTAGGAATAGAGTGAGTGGTAGTTTAATGTTTTGGCTTTAGGTTAAGGATATGGTTGGAGTAAATTAAGATTTGGCAACCCAAATAAAGAGTTACCCTATTTCCCCCTTTTCATAAAGTCCAATTGTTTACCTTAAAAAGTTTTCCAGGTTAAAAGTACATATTTGTCCCTTTTCATAACCCAATGCCTTAAAACAGAAAAGCCTGGCGATGAGACGGGGTGTGTGGAGTCAATACACCTCAGAAAATATAATTTCAATAGATTATTATTATGGTACTTTTATATTCCCTGACTTATGGTACTAAGATGTACACTTGAGGGTCCCACCCCAGTGACAGTTTACTACCTTTATTTCTGAGAGTGTAAGGGCATAATCCTCAGGCTCTGCATGCACCCCCACTCTCATGACTGATTGGGCACTCATTTCGGAAAGTCCACATATAGCCCTCGCGTGAGGGATTAGTGTAGGCCGCCAACATAGTGTCCCTAACATGGTGGCCATTCCCTCAGCATCCTGCGGAAAAAGAATGCCCAGTGTCCAGAAACTTCCATAATCGAACCTCACAAATCTCAACCAAACACACCTGGTCACAAACACTATGGAAGACAGGGTCTGCTTATATGAAAAATAAATAAAATAATAAAATAATAAATCTAAATCTAAAATACATTTTCAAAACTTAAGAAATAATGTAAATAAATGTAAAAATAAACTAAATATAAAAATTTGACAAAAAATGCATTAATCATTGATTTCAATATTTATTTCTATATATCTTGATTCATGTTTTTTTTCTTATCCTTATGATAGTAGGGGTGGTACTAATAATTTTATAATTTAATAATTATTTTATTTATTTTCTACACTGGCAGACACACACACACACACACACACACACACACTCAAACAAACATGCAAGTCCAATTATTGTCTTATTTTGCAATATTTTAGATGAACATGACATCTATCAGTCATGACTATTTGCCTAGAACATGATAGTGATTCAGTGCTGTGCACAGACTTGAGTGTGAGGAAACTTATTCTACTGTTGTCATATTCCATATGTAGACCTGATTTTCATAAAAAATGTAATACACATTCAAGTCCACTTTCGTTGGTGCAACAACCAAAAATAGACGATCCTAATGATTGTTCTTTTAAAAAATTACAGTGATTATGTGCTATTATTCAAACTCCAAGGACAATTATTTTTAACTCATCCATGAAATATTTCCAGAAACAGAAAACTTGTCAAGATATCAACTGGGAGTACCATTTCCATCCCACCTTAAACAATGCAACACCTAGCAGCAGTTACATTCTGGCCACTGTACATGTGCCAGAATGAAACTGCTGCACCATTCAAGGTGGAAACTAAAATTCGTCTAAGTAATTTAACTGCAAATATAGGAAGGAGTAGACAGAATAAATAGGCAGTAAAATATAAACATAGCTAAAGTTGTACTCTTCATTTTTGTGACTGCAAACTTTTATTAGTTAAAGAACCAAATTCTCAGTCAGTTTGCTAACAACCATAGCTAATGCTAGCTAGCTAACTAAATCTAATTAGGCTAGCTGTGAATTTAAACTCACCAAACTGTTTTTCTTTTAGCTTGTTAAATCTTCTCCAGTTGCCATTTGCCTTTTTAAACCAGCACACAGATGATGTCATACACACTACTGATGTCACAGCTCAGTGATGTCACACTGGCTAGTGAGGCCAGAGACTGCTGAGTGCTCTGATGTGTGTAACATCTCTGTAGCTTAAAGGTTGTGCAGGTTGCCCACAAAATGTTTGGAAGAATTTAAGCCACTCAAATGCTTGCCGAAAGCTGATCAGTTAAAAGAGGCTATACATTTTGACTTACAACCACATTTATCATAGATGCAGTATGCAAAATTTTAATATGATCAGATGAACAAATGCTAAGAAGCGGGTTTTAACATGTATAGCACCCCCTAATGGTGTACATGTGCCTAAAGGAAAAGGCTATTGTGAAGTTTCCATTTTTTGGAACAAGGCAAATTTGAGCTATAAAATTATTAGATGACTTTGAATTCATCAAGAAGCATGAATTACCATATGACTGCCAAATTTTCAGTACTGTTTAGGGATAAGAGTCGTGCAAATACTTTGATACTAGTTAGATGAGGACTTAGCAAAAAGATCTAGGACTAGTTTACAAAAGTGTGTCACATATTATACAAAACACACACACAAAGTCAGCAGACCTATTTAGTCCAAATTGCAAACTCAGTTGAAATTAGGAAAATAATTTAGTTGGTAAAGACTATGGTTTATATAGCACCCTTTTGAGGCCTTTAGGGCTCATGAAATGTAACTGAGCATGAAGCTGAGTGAGTGGGAGAGAGAGGGGGACATCCAAACCACCAAATCTTGATTGGATAGCAGCCTATCTCTACTCATATAATATCGTACTTAAAAAGCAATATATTCTGGAAATGATCACACAGAATCCATCTTGATGTGGAATACTGTGCCGTTTTGCCAGTTCCTCCAACAGAAACCTTAAATCGTCTTCATGAAGAAACGCTACTATTACCCGGGCTGTTGATCTGCGGATGACGTTTGCCACTCTCTCCAGTTTACTGCGCGGTTCTGTTCTGTAGTAGGACTCAGAGTACTCCACACAGATGCCCTCCTCTTGCGCAGCCTTTAGAAACGACGCCATTCCATAATTTCCGTAGTCTGTATCGCTGCGCACTGCCCCAATCCATGTCCAGCGAAAATGCTTGACTGTTTTTGCTAGTGCGGCCGCTTGGTGGTGGTCACCAGGCACGGTCCTGAGGAAGGCAGGATACTGACGCTTATCGCTCAGACATGCGCAGGTTGCGTAGTGACTCACCTGTTATTCAGTACAGCAAAAAAAAAGACGCGTTAATTGATTAGCCCGATTTAATCCTAGCCCCAATTAGTGCAGCCTAAAATCACCTGTGGAATTCCAAAAAGACCCAGCATTCTGGCCATACTCATTGAAGATATGGAATAAGAATCTCCCACGAGAGCAGGAACAGCGGCAGCTGCAGATTTTGAACAGGAATCAGTATCATTGTAAAATGGTTCCATGCCGTTTGCAAACTGAAATTCAACTTTAACAGCCATCGGCACTTCAGAGCACGAGTCGTGTATCTGATAGCCTATCGTGATTCCCGGCAGGAGATCTGTTCTGTTGTTGATCTCTTCAATTGTGAACTCCATTGCACGAGCGAAGCGCAGCTCCCTTTTTAGGGAGCTCATACTGTTTAGAAACATACGATATATTAAAATCATTCACACAGAATAAGTATCTTTTTACCAAATGCTTTGATACATCAATAACTCAATTAGTAGCGCATAACCGCAAAATAGAAATCTGATTATCACAATTTTTCTGTGATTCTCCCTGCACTGTTCACTCACACACAGACCTCCCAGAGCACTGTGGCGGTAACGGCTGTCTGGTGTAGCTGTTCTGCACTGATTTCATGTAGTAATGAATGGCGAAACTCCCTCCAATCACAAAATCTCCTTTCATATAAATATCAGGCATGTGAGGCTCAGCCCACAGTCTGCAGCTGACCAGGTCAGATTTACATGCTGCTGGTTTGAGTCCAGTTATCAGCCAGGCAGCATCCATCCTTCTGTGTCGCGGAGGATGCTGGAGCCTTTCCCAGTATTCATCGTGCAGAAAGCAGGAAAGACTCTGGACAGGTCGCCAGTCCATCCCAGCGCATATTAGACAGCATCCTATTTACTAAAAAAACTTAGTTCAAGAATGAACTAAAAATTAAAATGTTACTGATAAACCATTATAAAAACGCCTGAGGTGTACACAGAAATGGAAGAAGGAGGTCACAAAACTTTCACACTTTGTGTACAAATGTGTAAATAAATAAATAAATAAATAAATAAATAAAGTTTAATTAATTAAAATCTTAATGTGATTATTTGTTTTTTATTCTGTTTTTTTCCCTATTGGCAGTCACACACACCCCACCACACACACACAATCTCTCTCTCTCTCTCTCTCTCTCTCTCTCTCTCTCTCTCTCTCTCGCGCACACACACACACACACACACACACACACACACACACACACACACACACACACACTTTTTTGGATTTGACCTATGCCTGTTTACTGACTAGAAAGATTTAGACAATCCAGAGAAATCTCTGTATGCAAGGGACAAGGCTGAAAACCAGTACTGGCTTGCTGTGATCTTTGGGGCCTCAGGTGGTACTGCATTAAAAACAGACATGATACTGTAGTAGAAATCACTGCAAAGGCTCCGGAACACTTCTGAAAACCACTGTTTGGAAACAAAGTTCCTCGCTGCATCCACAAATGCAAGTTAAAACTCTACGATGCAAAGAAGAAATCTTATATAAACAGGATGCAGAAATGTTGCCACCTTCTCTGGGCCTGAACTCATTTAAGATGGGCTGAGGCAAAGTGGAAAAGTGTTCTGTGGTCTGCTGAATCAAAATTTGAAATTATCTTTGGAAATCATGGACACTGCAACCTCTTGACCAAAGGCTATCAGGCCTTTTATCAGCACACAGTTCAAAAGCCAGCATTCGAGATGGTATGGGAGTGCATTTGTGCACATGACATAGGTGACTGGCACAATTGTGAAGGCACTATTAATTCTCAAAGATACATGCAATGTCAAACCACATTTTGCATGTATTACAACAGCATGGCTGTATAGTAAAAAAGTTAGGGTGCTAAACTGGCTTGCCTGCAGATCAGACCTGTCACCACTGAAAACATATGGCTCTTTATGAAACAAGAAAAATGACAAAAGAGGCCCTGAACTATGAGCAGCTGAAATCCTACATCAAGTAAGAATGGGAAAATATATCATTTTCAGAACAACAGCAGGTGGTCTCCTCAGTTCCGAAACGCTTACAGAGTGGTGTTAAAAGATGAGGTGATGCAACACAGTGGTAAACATACACCCGGCCCAACTTTTTTGGAACATGTTGCTGACATCAAATTCAAAATGGGCATACATTTTCAAAAAACAATAAAATTTCTCAGTTTTAGCATTTAATATGTTATTTTTGTACTATTTTCAATTAAATATAGAGTTTAAATTATTTGCATATCATTGCATTTTGTTTTCATTTACATTTTGCACAGCATCCCAGCTTTTTTTAATGGGATTGTAAATAAAAATAGAATGCAATGATCTGCAAATCATGTAAACCATATTTTTGGAACAGAAATACTACAATGACAACATAACAAATGTTGAAACGTTGAAGCTAAGGAATTTTATTGCTTTTTGAAAAATATATGCCCATTTTGAATTTGATGTCAACAACACATTTCAAAAAAAGTTGGGACGGGGCATGTTTATGACTGTGTTTCATCACCTCTTCTTTTACCACCACTCTGTAAGCATTTGGGAACTGAGGTGACACTGCTGTAGTTTTGAAAAAGTGTTTTCCCTTCTTTTTCAACATAGGATTTCAGCTGCTCAACAGTTCAGGGTCTCCTTTGTTGTATTTTTCATTTCATAATGCACCAAATGTTATTACTGGGTGACACGTCTGGACTGTAGGCAGGCCAGTGTAGCACCTGGACTCTTTTAATATGGAGCAATACTGTTGTAATACATGCAGAATGTGGTTTGACATTCTTGCTGAAATATATATATATATATATATATATATATATATATATATATATATATATATATATATATATTTCAGCAAGAATGTCAAAAGCCAGTATTTACGATGGTATAGGGGTGCATTTGTGCTCATGGCATGGGTGGCATGCACATCTGTGAAGGCACCATTAATGATGAATGATATATATATATATATCATTCATCATTAATGGTGCCTTCACAGATGTGCATGCCACCCATGCCATGAGCACAAATGCACCCCTATACCATCGTAAATACTGGCTTTTGATCTGTGTATTGATAACAAGCTGAGTGATCTTTAGCTTGGAGGACACAGTCCATGATTTCCAAAAAAAAAAATCAATGTTTACTTGTCGGATGACAGGACACTTTTCCACTTCCCCTCAGTCTATTTTAAATAAGCTCAGGCCCAGAGAAGGTGGCAGCATTTCTTTATCATGTTTATATATGGTTTCTTCTTTGCGTTTTGAGTTTTAACTTGCAATTGTGGATGCAGCGACACAGACAGTGTTTTTCAAAATTGTTGCTGAGTCCATGCAATGATTTCCATTACAGAATCATGTCTGTTTTTAATGCAGTGCCACTTGAGGGCCCAAAGGTCATGGCCAGCAAATACTGATTTTTGGCCTTGTCCCTTGCATACAGAGATTTCTCCAGATTCTCTGAATCTTTTAATGATATTATGTACCGTATATGATGAAAAGCAAAAGTTCTTTGCTATTTTATGTCGAGAAATGTTATTCTTAAATTGTTGCACTATTTGCTTGTGCAGTTTTTCACAGAGTGGTGAACAACTCCCCATCTTTACTTCTGCCAGACTCAGCCTCTCTGGGATGTTCTTTTTCTACCCAATCATGTTACTGACCAGGAGTTTTTTTAGCATTACCCAACTTTGCCAGTCCTTTGTTGCCCCTGTCCCAACATTTTTGGAATGTGTTGTTGGATCAATTTCAAAATGGGCACATATTTGTCCATAATAAAATTCCTCAGTTTTAACATTTGATTTGTTGTCTTTGTACTATTTTCAATTACATATAGAGTTTAAATGATTTGCACATCATTGCATTATGTTTTTATTTACATTTAGCACAGAGTCCCAATTTTTTTTGGAAATGGGGTTGTTTTACCTTTCTGCTTGTATTAAACCATTTTTAAATGCTATTTCACTTCTCTATTTACAGTGTATCACACTGAAATTATGTTTATGTAGCAACATTGAAGACATACATAGAACAAATTTCATAACAACATTCAAATGACTTTAATGTTCAGGGAGTTAAGTTATACTAATGCTTGCTGAAAGCTAATTGGTTGATGATGGCCATGTATTTTGATTCAAAAGTAGTCCTTGTAATTTGTATTCAAGATGACAAATGCAAACTTTTAGCATGAATAACAGTTATTTGGCACTTGTAGCGCCCCCTAATAATTTACAGTGTGCTTCAACTAAAACACTACTTTAGAATCAGGTTTTGTAGAAAGTTGGGGGGGGGGAAAAGTAAACGGGTAATTTTTTTAGAGGATTATGAAATAATCCAGAATGGTTAATTATGATAGCTAAATTGCTTATAAATGTCAAAAATATTTCCCATAATTACTAAGGAGGAGAATCACTCCATGTTGGTGAATGAGTAAGAAGTTCTGCAGACGCAGTCGGAGAGGCACATAGATACTTTATCATGTCACTCACAAAACAAAAATGATAGGCTTATAGCTCACAGCTTTCACCAATAACAAAACAATAGTATATTGTTAATCTTGTGACTCTGGCTACGCTTGTTCAGACATCAGATTTTTTTGCAGTATTGGTTCCTCTCTCTTAGCTCTTACTAATGAATGAAAGAATGACATATTAGTAGGGAGAGAGACATGTATCCACAGATGCACATACTTATCATACAGACTGCTACTTCACTCAAATTAGAGGATTAGAGGATAGAGCAAAAAAACCTAGGACTAGTATATGAAAGTATCGTTCGCATATTTTTCAAAATAGCATAAAATCAAAATAAGACAAAGCTAAATGGTCCAAATTGCAAATTAGTTTGACAGGAGCCAAATAAAATAGGGAAAAAAAAATAAATAAATAATATATATATGTATGTATATATATATATATATATATATTATATATATATATATATAGTAATTTTAAAAAAAAATTAAAAGTAAAAAAATGGGTATACATGATGCCCCTTTGAGGCAAATAAGGCTCAAATGGGTAGTGGGAGGGACAAGTGACAAAGTTTTATGTCCACATAATTGTGGTTGATCTCGGTGAATCATTTTAGTGGAGAATAAGAATAATAAGAAAAACTCCCTCAATCACAACAGGGTCCTACGCTCTGCACATGCTTGGACACTATATGGTAGCATGTAAGCCAAATGCAAGTGAAGCATCTATGAAGCTTTTACAGTGAGCTATCAAATCAGTTGTTTCCCTAAGTAAAGCCCCTGTGCCTCTTCTGAAACACGTAAGGCCGGGTCTTTTCTGACTGTTCCTAAGGCAGTGTTCTTGGACAGTTTGGGAAAATCATCAGACACTCTGAAATCACATCCCTCAGCAGATTTCTAAGTCCTTGTCTAAGACACTCTGATAGTATGGAGGAAAGTGCTCACATTTCACTGACTGTACACTGCTGGATCTCACTGAAGAGGTAAGTAAGGCTTTTCGTTATTTCTATATGACAATGTTGAAAAAGCACATATGGATGTTTTTTCCAATTTTTCTCCTTCCTTATTTTAGACACAACAAGCTGCATATATTCTAACTCTCGCAAACTCAACGTCACTAGACAGTTCTACACAGAGGAGAAAGCAGAGTGCCGATTCCATTATCTCATCTACCAGATACTGCATAGACTGAAATGATGTTGAGAGAGTAGAAGAGAGAGGTGGCCATCCTACCACCAAATCTTGACGGACAAGAGCCTCTCATTATTTGTTTAAAATTGAATTTAATAAGCAATATATTCTCAAAGCAATTATAAGGGTTCAAGTTAGATGTGGAAGTACAAGATGAAAGTGCTAAAAAGTAGGTTTAGGGACAATTCTGTTTAATTTGGCATTATATATTATTATCTATTATCATTAAAGTGGTATATGTGAAAAGGTTACTTACATATTTCTACACAAAACATAATTTAGTTATAAATATGTATTAAAGAAGCTGCTATGTACACATAAACCTACACATAAATCAGCACTTTTTGTATGAGGTGCTGCATATACAATAAGTGTGAGAGTCTCAGAGAGACTTAGAGGGCACTTTACCCATAAGGTGTTTCTTGGTATTCTGCTCTGGCCTAAACATGATTTTGAAACACTTGGAAGCAAAAATACAAGTAATTAAACCAAAGCTTGAAGCAAGAATAGCAAATATCTCTACAGCTACAGTGAACTTTCCAGGAGAGCTGACATAAGCTGGGATAAAGGTAAGCCAAACTGCACAGAATATGAGCATGCTGAATGTGATGAACTTGGCCTCATTAAAGTTATCAGGCAGCTTCCGTGCTAGAAAAGCAAAAATAAAACACAAAAGAGCCAGAAATCCTATATAACCCAGCACAGCCCAGAAACCTATAGCTGAACCTAATCCACATTCCAGTATTATCCTTTCCTTGTATTGTTTTAGATTTTTGAAAGGAAAAGGAGGAGATGTTGTCAACCAAACAACACAAATTAGGACCTGTATGAGAGTGAAGGTGAGAACACTGAGTCTCTGCTGTGGAGGCCCAAACCATTTCATGGCATTACTGCCTGGAAGTGTAGCTCTGAAGGCCATTAACACCACTATTGTTTTCCCCAGAACACAGGAGATGCAGAGGACGAAGGTGATCCCAAACGTTGTGTGGCGCAGCATACAGGACCACTCAGAGGGCCGACCAATGAAAGTAAGTGAACAGAGGAAACACAGAGTCAGTGAGAAGAGCAGCAGGAAGCTCAGCTCTGAGTTGTTGGCTCGGACAATTGGAGAAGCTCTGTGTTTGTAGAAGACAGCAGTCACACATACAGCTATGAAGGCCCCAGAGATGGAGAACACTGTCAGGATGATGCTTAGAGTGTCATCCCAGGACAAGAACTCCACAGGCTTGGGGACGCAGCTGTCTTGCTGGGTGTTGGGCCAGAACTCAGGAGGGCAGCCCACACAGTTAAGAGAGTCTGAAACATTAGACAAATATTGAGAATCATATTTCTGAAAGAACAGCGAGGGATTGAGAAAAAAATATAAAAATTAATTAGTGCTGTCCCCAGCAATATTTTTTATATTGTGATACACAACCTGTCTTGTTACTGATCTCTCCTTCTGCACATGGTATACAGTCATAGCAGCAGACTGGCTTTCCTTTCTGCACAGCCTTCCTGGTTCCTGGAGGACAGCTCTCACTGCACACAGATCTTGGCACCTGAAAGACATTAAACATATGCAAAACATTTATAGTTGTTTTAAAAATAAAGAAAGTGAGTAAAGAAATAGTAAAGCACATTTAAAAACTTTAAAACATCTTTGTATACGTTGTGTATTGGCTAACTTTAGATCAATTAGATTTGCATTTGGAGGTTTAAGTAAAAAGAAATGTTTGTGACTGATTTATTAACGGTTTGCTAGTTTCTTTTAACTAGCTCAAATTTTTCACAACTTTCATTATTTAAAAAAATCATTTTGAAGGTACAACAGGTTGTCTTTATACTAAACTTTAGGAATGGATGTGTATTAGAAGGATTCATTACATTAACTATGATGGAGTTTTGTGTTGCAGTTTACCCATCTAGCTTGTATTAGTAATATGCAGGTGAACAAGTGGATGTGGGATGGATTAAAACAATTAGCACATAAAAACAATCATAGTCTCTGTGATACTGATTGTTTTGTAGTGTATTGTTTTTTTGTGGTGTTTCGGGCATCTTATCCGGATGCCCCCTGGACGCCTCCCGGTGGGGGTGTATCAGACACCGCCTACTGGGACAAGACCCCGGGACCCCTAAGACCCGCTGGAGGGATTATATCTCCAAATTGGCGTGGGAGCGGCTTGGGGTCCCCAGGAATGAGCTGGAGGAATCTGGACTAAGCGGTTAATGATGATGATGATGATGATGATGATGATTATGAACTTAAGACAATCAAAATATTTTAAATATTACGTTTTTTTTGGGGATTTAGTGTAAATTGTAAATGTAATTATTAATCAGAGCAATAAATATTTTGAAATTCTTTCCTTTTTTTTGTGTGTAACAAATCTTAAACCTATATTTTTCTTAGAAAATATTTCATTGCATGAATGAAAACTTGCTTTAATGTATTTTTAAAACTTTTTAAAGCAAATTTAGACAACAATTATCACAACTGACTGCCTTAATTATTTTGGGTTCTTCTAACTGACGCAGGTTTGCTATCAAAGACTTCTGGAAGTTTTGGACTGTACCTCGGTCTGTCCCCCCAACCAGATGATAGGTCTGCTCACACTGAACTCCTGGCCTTTTGGTCTAGATGTGTCATACTGGCCCACAGTGATGACACCCAAAACACCATCTTTTTTAAATTGATAATTTATGAGCTCGTAGACGGCCACAGGATCACCATTGGCATCAAATGAGACCTGATAGCCAGTCTTTGTAGTGAAGTTCACTGTCTTGAGCTGGTCGAGTATCTGCAGTGGAAGACATCATTTGACAAACTGTGAACGCTGATCAACACATTGCAAAACACTGCTTATTCAGTATCGATGAATATTGACATAATGATTCACTGTCAAATATTATTTGGGCAGTTTGATCATTGAGATGGTAAATGGTATCTCTAAACTTGAAAACTATGGAAATCAGCTGAAAATAACAATAAACCAAATAAAGAGTGATGTATATTTATATGTATACTTTATTGTATTACTATATAAACAAGACATATGGTAATTCCTCTTTTTAATGTGTACTTGAAAGGTTTTTGTCATGGTGTCCAGGAAACATAGCACATCTTAGCAGTGGTGTCACAGACGCTGATATATTACACTGTTAAACCATGTGTGTTAAAAACACCACATTGTGTCACTAACTATATACACCAGTGGAGTCTGCTAGGACGACACATATTTTGTCATTTTAACACCAAATGCGTTGAAATATTTCTGTTCCCAGTTATGGATAACATATTTTGGGGTATTTTTAAGACAGAATATGTTAAATCAGAAAACAGTATGAGACAAAAAGTGTTACAATAAGTAAAAGAAGTTAGTGTGTTGATTTAACGCATCATTTTTTGGAGTGTACTTAATTTTAAAATTGACACAAATTAACAACCTACCCCGATTTATACTCATATAACCCCATTGACACAAATTAATAAATATATACAATTTTAAAGATAAAATCATGCTCATTCCAATTATACAGCAACCTACGGAACTGTTCTTAAATGTAGCAGTTTTATACCTGCCATGGTGTGAATTTAGCGCTCTTGTCACACTGCGTGTCATTACAGATAACACCGTGGATGGCATGCGCTATGGCATACGTAGCTTTGTACACCATGTTAGTGATGCGCAGCTGCGACGTGTCTGTATATGGGTTCTGCAGCGCGCGGATATCCTCGCTGCCATCACATTCCCGCGCGCCTCCTGAGGAGCCTTTCAGGCTACAGTTGAACGAGCTCTCCCAAAACTCCGTTAGCAGGGGCGATTTCAGTGCTTGTTCTGGAGAGAGATCCAGAAGAAACTCACGAAGACCTGGAATCACTGAGCGGGGGACCCCAAATCCTATCGCCCCAGCGCACATGTTAAAGCGCAGAAACTCTGGATCTGTAATCCATGCGTCGCTGCCGATCCACTGAAGGGGGGGCGGCGGCTGTCTTGCCAGTTCCTCTAACAGAAGCCTCACTTCGGCTTCTTGAAGAAACGCTACTAATACCCGGGCTGTTGATCTGCGGATGACGTTTGCCACTCTCTCCAGTTTACTGCGCGGTTCTGTTCTGTAGAAAACCTCGGAGTACTCCACACAGATGCCCTCCTCCTGCGCAGCCATTAGAAACGACGCCATTCCAGTATTTCCATAAACTGAGTCGCTGCGCACTGCCCCAATCCATGTCCAGCCGAAGTACTTGACAAGTTTTGCTAGTGCGGCAGCTTGATGGTAGTCACTAGGCACGGTCCTGAAGAAGGCAGGATACTGACGCTTATCGCTCAGACATGCGCAGGTTGCGAAAGGACTCACCTGTTATTCAGTACAGCAAAACAAAAAGACGCGTTAAATGAGAAGACTGTTTTAATTCCAGCGCTTAGTTAAGGGATATACAATGCTTTCTCAGTTATTATTAAACACAAATAATTAATTTTGCACCATTTGGTCTACAATTACCTGCGGAATTCCAAAAAGACCCAGCATTCTAGTCATGGTAATTGAGGAGATGGAATAAGAATCTCCCACGAGAGCAGGAACAGCGGCAGCTACAGATTTTGAACAGGAATCAGTATCATTGTAAAATGGTTCCATGCCGTTTGCAAATTGAAATGCAAGTTTGAGTGCCATCGCCACCTCAGAGCACGAGTCGTGTATCTGGTATCCTAACGTGATTCCCGGCAGGAGATCTGTTCTGTTGTTGATCTCGTGGATGGTGAACTTCATGGCACAAGCGAAGCGCAGCTCTCTGAAATTCATACTGTTTAGAAACATAAAACATAACAAACAAAACAATGACACAAAGTAAGTTTCCATCTTACCAAATGCTGATAGACGTCACTATCTCAGTAAGTAGTGCATAACTGCAAAAAAGAGGAAAAGTGATCAATATAATTTCTGTTATTCCACAGCACAACTGTTCACTCCACACTCACAGACAGACCTCCCAGAGCACTGCAGCTGGAGTGGCGGTCTGGTGTAGGTGTTCTGCTCTGATCTCGTGTAGTAATGAATGGGGAAAGTCCCCCCAATCACAAAATCTCCATCCATATAAAGACCAGGCATCTGAGGCTCAGCCCACAGCCTGCAGCTGACCAGGTCAGGTTCACATGATGTTGGCCTGAGCCCGGTTAACCACAGCATTAATACAAACATCTTTAAAACTGAAGTGAGCTGCATTGTATGCTTGGTTGTTCTCAGCCCTCTGAAGGACAGAGTGAGTGTATTTATAGAACCTCCTTTTTATGATGCCCAGTGGGTGTGAGCACAGACTCATGAGGCATAGTTATGTGATGAATAGTAATTGCAATGATGGGCACAACTTTTGTTTTTGTCTCTGTTGTTTTCCATTGTGGCGTATTGAGGTAATTAATCTTCGGCCATATTAAGAGTTCAGCTTGGGCAGTGACACAATTAAGTGAAATTACGCACAATTGTAGTGCGCAATTCCTCGAGAGTGCGCAAAACAAAGGCGTGATTCAGTTAGCCGAGATTCACACGAGATTGATTCCCTTGCATAATTACCTCTCCCACTAAGAGCTGTATTACCTGCAGCGCCACTGTTCGGCCACTTGACTACAAACTTTCACACTAACACTAGTTTCATATTGTATGGCTAGTATTAGTACCATGTTTAGGCTTAGGAACAGAGTGAGTGGTAGGTTTATGTTTTAGTTTAAGGTTCAGGTTAGGGTTAGAGTATATTCAGATAGATTTAGTAGACAATTAGGAAAATTTAAGTTAAATGCTATAAAAACCTATATAAAGCATTTACAAAGGGCTATTCAAGTAGTGTTACCCTATTTCCCCCTTTATCAAGTGCTTCTTCAGAGACAGTTCGTTGGACAGTTCATCACAATTGGAGGAGACCACTAACTGCCAGTTTGCTTATATCAGATACTCTCCATGGTGCAATATGGTGGAAGAATTCCATACCTATACCCATCTTTGAATGAGATGTTCAGTAAGCACATAGGGGTGTGATGTTTGGCCACACCCAGCTGTTCTTCACAAATTAATCTAGGCCAATATCCATCCACTAACTATGGGTTCATTTTATTTGCAAAGCATTCTATAGTTTATTTATAGATGTTTATTTCATTGACAAACAATTTTTATTACTTTTTATAGCTACTTTATTCATTATTATTTCAAAGTCATGTGATTCTCCATAGTGTTAGGGTTAGTATTATTACCAGGTTTAGGCTTAGAATATAAGTGAGGTTTAGATGATTGGTTTTGGATAGGGTTAAGGTTAGATCTAAGTTTTTTTCTTAGATAAGTATTAGAATGTAAGTCAAATGCCAAATAAGCATCTATGAAGCATTTTACAGTGGCCGTCCAAGTAGATGTTAACCCCACCCCCCTCCCCCATGTGCTTCTATTGAGACATATGAAGCTACATCTTTCTTAATTGGGTCTAATAAATCATCATTGGACTGTTCAACAAAATCCATAGAGAACATTAACTCTTACAACCCTATGGTAAATTGATGTTATTTTCAGCACGTCTTTCACATGCTCCAGTCTAACTGCAGTCAGAGTCAATCAGTAGAAGAAGTTCCAGACTGGACATGTGCAATAGGGGATTTAACACCAGTACCGGAATTAGATCAGTTGACTTTTACTATGAAAAGGTCAAAATGCTTCAACAAGAGGGCTGAGGGCTTTTAAAGCTGCAAACACAGCAGAATTCTAAGATAACATATTAGGTGTACCTCACAAAAGTGATGTTAGGGGGATGGCAATGGAACTGAAATTCCAAATAAAATATTTAAATTTGCAAAACCCAAGAGCTTCTTTGATGGAAATCGGTTGAGGCCGTTCCACAACTTTACAGATTTTATGATCATCCATGCTTATCCCCTGCTTATCTATGTTGGAACACTAAGTGTAATTCACACTTCTATGCTTTGATGAATAACTTGTCGTCAAGGAGCCTTTGGAGGATGAGACAGATATTGTATATGTTTGCATAGGGAGGTGGAGTATATCAGAATATTATTTATGTAGGCAATGACCCAGTGACCAAACATATCAACAAAAAAAAAAAAAGGAGGGGCTTCACAATAGCCTGAACAGCATGACTAAGTATTTATTGTGCCCTTTGGTTGTGCTGACAGCTGTCTTCCACTCGTCCCCTTCAGTGATTTAGTTCATAAGCACCGCACACATCCAGTTTAGTGAAAACAGTAGCTCCCCGAAGTTGAGCGGACTTTCTACCTAAGTCACATGACACAGCAGGGACAAACATTTACTACAAAGTGGGCTCTATTTAGAAATCTCTCCAGTATTCCAAGGTAAGCTTGGGTAATGTAAAGATTGTCATGGCAATCAAAGTATAAGAGGATTTTCTGGGGAGTTTTTGCTTAAAAAGGATATTTCAATGTCTCTTCTTTCCCAAGTTGAACTGTCCAGTGCAATAGATGTCTGGATGAACTGATCGTGCGAATGAGTTTCACCTCAGCATACCAGTTCTGCTTGCTGGTCCTGATGTAATCCACATCAAAACATGATCAGTAAAGCAGGCTTATTCTGACCAACGCCTGCAGCTACTGTTCTAAATTCCATGGCAAAATCAGCAGCTCTGTGTGATCCTTGTCACAGTTCACAAAGTTAAGTATCAACATCTCTCCCAGCAGCATGATGATAAAACATTGCATTAAAGTGGGTGTAGAATTGGGTTTCAGACCACAAAATAAAGTGATGGTCCATTCTTTGACTCCACTGATAAGCAGGGACAGAACAAAATAGATCTTACCTGTTTCTGATTGAAATTGAGCCAGACTCTGATTAATATATAAAGCTCATTGCATAAGAAACCCCTTACAGCTCTCTGGTAATCCATCAGGCGTGGCTAAAAGGACTGCTGCTGAATTAAGGGGTTCTATGTTGGACTCAGAAACAGCAGGTTGTGGTTGGGGTTGAGGTTGTTGTTGATCTTGTCCTTTTGCACAAGTTAAAGCAATTCCTCCAGGTCCTGCTAATGGGAAGCTAGTCACTCTTAAACACCTGCTGGATCCATTGCAAAGTCTTTTGTCACAATTAAACCCATTCAAAGTAGTAGCATCCAAGTGCAGGTTTAATTCACAGATCTCAATATCACTGGAAAATGCTTCATAATGGAGGTTAACCCAAAATCTAAACATTAACAATCCAAGACAAGAGTGGTGGCAAAACATGAGGAAAACAAACAAAAAAAGAAGAAAAGATCAAATACAAAAAAACATGATACCTTACAATCAAAATAGAGGCAACAATGGGCAAAGAATAGAAGACTTTGCAAGGAGCAAACAGAAAGCATGTCTATATAAAGCCCATTAAGTTAGTAACAAGTGAGAAGGCCTTAGACTCAGTACTGAGGTGCAAGTTTTACAGTGAATGTTAAAGGGATTTGGAGTGGATTACTGTCTGATAATTGGTCACAGCTGGATGAAATTACACTACATAGTGAGGGCAGGGTCTGCTGAGTTCTGTGATGTGTGAATTATGTCACTATTTTAACCTCATTTGCTGGAATATGCAGGCTAAATGCAGAGCACTAATATCTGGATTTTTGGGTGGTGTTTGAGTCAGATTACTCACTACTACTGGCGTAACAACGTGGTGACGTCGCATTGGCTAGTGAGTGCTCTGATATGTGTAACATTTCTGTAGCTTAAAAATTATGCATTTTGACTGCATACAGTTTGGGTTGAAGGAGATAAGTTATCCAAATGCTTGCTGAGAACAGACTGAATGAAAACTGTCATCATTTTGATTTCTAAAGTCATCCTTAGGAACTTACTTATAATCAGTCTTACAGGTGCAGTGTGGAAAATTTCAACATGATCAGATGTATAAATGCTGAGGAAATGGGTTTTAACAGTTACAGTACCCCCTAATTATGTACATGTGCCTAAATCGGAAGACTATTTTAGAGTCATGTATTGTAGAAGCCTGTGACGTTTCACATTTTTTGAATAAAGCAAGCTTGAGTTATAGAAATTTCAAACATTTGTGAATTAATTCAGAAGGGTTAATTAGCATATGACTGCAAAATTACTTTTAAAAGTCAATGTGTTCAATAATTATTGAAGAAGAGGGTTAATTTTTTGATACCAGTAGTACAAGGATTGAGCAAAAATTCTAGGACTAGTTCCCAAAAGTATGTTTTGAACATTATTTAAAAAAAATAAATAAATAAATAGGCAGAGATTGAATTGACTTGGGCAAAAGAATTAGGAAAAAAAAATAGTTTCTAAAAGTTCTGGTTTATATAGCACTCTGTTGAGGCCAATAAAGCTCATAAAATGTAGCTGAGTAGTGGGAGGGACCACGTAAGATGTCCGCATGAGTTATGGTTTGATCCAGGTTAATCATTTTATCGGAGTAGAAGAATAATGGGAAAAACTGCAACAATTACAATAAGATCCTTAATAAGTAGCTTGTAAGTCAAATAGACAATAAGAATCTATAAAGCATTTACTGTGTGCTGTTCAAACAGTTGTTACCCTATGTATGGGGTAACCTAGGTAACCCCCATGTGCTTCGTCTGAGACTCATAAAGCCACATATTTTCTGACTGTTCTTACCGCAATGTGTAGGACAGTTTAATAAACACTAAAATAACATCCTTCAGCGGACAACTAAATCCATGTCTAAGACAGTCTAAAAGGATGGAGGAAGTTGACTGATTGTATGCTCACTCTAAGGTAAGGCCTTTCCCTATTTCTGTATGAGAGAGCCCAGTAAGACAATGTTGAATAAGCACAAATGAATGTGATGTTCAGGTGTACCCAGTTTCGCTCAAAAAAGCTAAGCTAAACTGACCACCTTGTTTAATATTGTATTTAATAAGCAATATATTCTCATGACAATTCTAAGGATTCCATTTTGATGAAAATATATAATATTAACTTAATTTGGCATTAAACATTATTGTCTACTATCATGTAAGTGGTATCACATTTTTAATCATTACAACATAAAATTTGGTTTAATTATGAATATGTATTAATGAAGCTGCGATGTACAACTAAAACCACCCATATATATACACATTATGTATAAAATGATAAAACAGTGCTACGTATACAATATGCGTGAGAGACTCAAAGAGGCTTGGCGGGTCCTTTACCCATAAGGTGTTTCTTGGTATTCTG